ATGGCCATTTGACGGTGGAGGAGACGCATAGAGGGGAAATATCATCTTTATGAGAAAATCTAAAGGTAAAGGTAGAGACACCTTTGTCGCTTAAGGGTAGGTAAGCATCTGCAATTGGGGATGTCAATGGCGGTTACTTCGCTATTTTGGCGAATTGTGATGGTCACTTGCTCGTTTGTAACTTTGTATTTTAAAATAATCCAAATAATTAAATTTAACCGAGAATTTAATTCAAACAACATACTTTAAAATCTGCGAAGTCACGGCTAAAGGAATTTTTAATATAATAGATACACAAAAAAAAGCTCACTAAAACATTACCCCCTATCAGTTAAACAGAATTAATTCAACTTGATAACATCTTAACATTCACAAACATGATAGAGAGAATATAATATTTCCTGAAACCAACCGAATAGACTAGGGTAGCGTGAAATGACCACAATATCCGCAATTCCTTTCTCGCCTTAAGCCTTGTCAGTCCGTAGCATTGCCTTATACATCATCGGTAGTATAACACTGAGAATACACTATAAAAGCGAGCGGTGGCGAATTAAAATCTCATTGTGAAATATGACCCTGAAGTACAAATTAAACTTTGGAATATTTATTACAATTGAAGGTTGAAGATAGATTTTTTATAAATAAAACCATTCATCGACGCCCATGGAGATCCGTAATATCAGAGGAACTGCAAATGCGTTGCCGGCCTTTGAGAACATGATTTTAAAACTTTGTTCTTCAAACTCCAAAGACGCTAATAACGCGTTATGAAGCGAAAGCGTTGTTAGTTACGAGATGTAGTTTTAATAATTTTAGTAAATAAAATCGCTTCCGCTCATCACTAAAAGTACACCCTAATCTTGATCCTTAATGCTTATCCCGTCAAAAGTGGGAAGAGTAGACAAGAAACAGATTGTTCTACCAAAGAATTACACTTAATAGCTCCCACTTTGTTGTTTCGCCCTCATCGAATGTAATCTTAGAAAATGCTTTATTTGTCAACTCGTATGTTTCTTACATTAGCAGATTAAGTTAATTTACTTATATTTCTTGTACCATTCCTACTAAGCTCTGGACTTGCGCTAAGACAGGTTTACAATAGTCGAATGACGGGTTTTGAACCCTCGACTGTGATCGGAAATCAATTCTTTTAACCATCAGACTCTGAATATAGGTTAGTTATCATACTAATATTATCAATTCGAAAATTTGCATGGATGATGTTTGGAAGAATTTGTATCCTAAACGACTCAACGGATTTCAATAAAATTTGGTACAGATGTAGAGAATAGTCTGGAACAAAATATAGGCTAATCACTTATTTTTTTAATTCCACGCAGCCAGAGTCCCGAGGGAAAGCTAGTAAATCTATACTAAAATTATAAAATGAAAAGATTTGGATTTTTGTATATATTGAAATAACTCAAAAACTACTGGGCCGATTTCAAAAATTCTTTCACCATTAAAAAGCTACGTTATCAGTAAGCTACATTTTTTACTATTTTGTAATAACACGCGGTCCAAATCGAAAGCAACAGCTAGTTATAAATAAAAAGATAAAAGCATTATCCCCTTCTTACTTGGTTAAGTATAATTTAGATCTATAGATAAATCTACAAATTTCATACATTCAAACGAAAGCTTTATTGCCTGTGGATTTTAGGTTAACTAAATATCAGCATCTGCGTCAGCCTGATATCGTAATCTGCGTATAAATAATATACGTGCAGTAATAATTTAGCTGAGCTACGAAAGGATTTTCTTGTGATTAATTGGTACATCGGTATTTATCTATGCTTAATGGACTTATTGATTAAAAGCTTAATAGTTAATTTCATTGTTAGTTCATTGCGTGTAAATTGTCGCGTAAAATTGTACTATTTTTTTTTATAATACTAGGTGGCAAACGAGCAAGCGGCCACCTGAATCCACCGAAATGGAAAGCGACCGCTGCCCATAAACATCCGCAATTGCAGATGCGTTG